ACAAGTACCTGCAGTTCGCCTACTTCAAGGTACGGCCCAGCGCTCCTTCACCTTCCTCCATCCCTTCCCTCCTTACATCTTCCTTGCGCCTCTGGCCATTGTACTCAGCCCTGGTGATGTCTCACCATGTCCTTGGTGGGGCTGTGCAACCAACCTGGGAGGCAAGCGAGGCTGCTCGTGTGACGCAGAGGCATCACAGCAGGGATGGAGGGCATGGTGTGGCCCAGTGTGCCATCCGTCGCCTTGTGTGGCCTGTGGGGATGCTTGAGAAATGCCTCATCCTGCCTATTTGCAGTCTGGCCTTCACAGCAGGTTCTCCTAGGCTGTTTCATTCCCCACCGCGCCTTCCAGACCGCCTTGTTCTCGAACACCTAGCTGCCCTTCTTGCCCCTGCTCTGTCCTATCCCCAGCCATGTCTCCCTCCCTCCCTCCATCCCTCCTGGGAGGCCGATCCCATGCACCTTCATCTACCCAGCAAATCTTTCAGCCTGTTCCTTCCACTCGCCTGTGCATGACCCGTCATGGATCAGCTGGTGCTTTGTCTTTCCCCCTATTTGCCTACATGGTGCCAGCATGAACTTTCTTCACCTTTTCCTCCCTGCCTCGCCCACAACTTATCCAGCAAATCACCTAAGCTAGTGTCCCGTTCTTCCACAGTTTCCAGCCACCAGATCCTGCAGTTCATACCCCGGTCCTTCTTACCTTTGCATTTGCCTTAATTTCTTGAAACCATTCTTTAAAACCTATTCACACTTCCTGCTGTGCTCCACTGCTTCCTCTCCCTCAGCTTTTCCAACCGCCTCACTTGCTCTCTTCTTTTCCACTTCTTTCAAGTACAGAGTTAAAATCAGTCCTGAAATATGACAGTCGCGCTAACTGGAATAGTATTTACTTTTTGCTCTAAGGTCAGTCAAGGTTGGGGGCATCTCTTTTACGAGACTTCATCACGTATTTCTAACTTCTCATCCTCCTGCCCAAGATGCAGTTCTGTTTTCTCACTCCTTCCTCATTTTCATCTTTTGTCGCTCTCTAAATGATGGTCCATCCCTCACTCACTCCATCCTTCAGCTACTACAGTTACTTCAATTTCAAATAAATAGGACAGCTGGAGACTTGGAGAGGGGTCTGTCAAATTGTACTGCAAAACTTACCTAAAGCCTCTGCACAGAGGTTAGGGAACAGACTGTATTAATCTAGGACATTTCTTCTGGCTAATGGAATGGGCAGTCCCTCTCATATTTCCCAGATCAATATACTAGTCCCAAGATGACATCATCACAAATGTTTCCATTTATTGCTGCACTTATTTTACAATTAGTACAATTCAGTAACTGGCAGATATGAATGCAAAAGGGAAATTGGAGAAATCCCCTCTCCCTCTTGTTTGATCATATTTTTTGCTCACATTTGCAGTAGACTTGTGAGGTGCAGTTTGCTGTTTCTCTTTCCAAATCTCCATTGCTGAGCTCTTACCTCTCGCTTGGAGAGTTCTGAATGGGTTCAGCATACTCGGGATTTTTCACAGATACCCGCTACTACGTACACAGGGATTTGCCTGGCCGGTGGTTTGCTGAAGAAGGAATGTCTTTTTTTCTCTCTCTCTCTTTTTTTTTTTTT